CCTGCGCTACACTCTTCCCTGTCGATCAGTAGGCTGTGTCCGCAGCAGGGACTCGAACTCGCAACCCACCAGAGACCTGCTGTACCCCCTGTGTTTTCTTCAAGCATTTCTTTTTCTTAAAAGGGATGTCCAGTGTAGGGAAGCACTGGGGGTCTGGTTTCAGTTTCTGGGGTGCTGTATGTGTGGAGTTTGTACGTCTATCGTGTTCATTTGGGTTTCTACCCACAGGCCAAAGCCGTGCTGGCAGGTTAATTGGCGTCTGAGAAAACTTGACCGTGGTGTGATCGTGTCTGTGTGTGTCCTGTGATGGACTGGCGTCCCATCCAGGGTGTACCCTGCCTTGAGCCCGTTGCATGCTGGGATAGGCTCCAGCTCCCCCGCGACCCTGAATTGGATGAAGGATGTAGAAAAAAAGTTCTGCTTCCAATATTTGATGGGGTTAGCTATGGACACATTTCAGCTATAGAGGCAGTAGGGGGAGTGTAATTTGTGCAACTAAAGGTTTATTTTGAAGCTGAGCCTAGATCGGCCTAGGCTCTGTTGACCTTCTTTAAACCAGCGGTTGCCAAGACTGAGCAGAGCTTCACCGGCTTCCAGCAGGTAGGAACCATGAGCACCAGGGTGAGGTTAATCTCTAGGGGTGTCATTAAATATTAATTGTACCCAAGGGGCATCATTCACCACACAGCCGACAGCAGTAGAAATTCTAACCTGACGCCGTGCTGCTGTTTCCTAAATTAAAGGCTAATTAAGAGGAGCTAGACTCTGAAGCTAGATTTTGTTTGCAGTGATAACGATGGAAAAGGAACGGGCAGCCCATACTCTCCATACTAGATCTGTGCACTGCTGGTAGAGTATGTCTGGTGGAAAACTCAAAGGAGGATATTCCCCGAATCCAGGGCTCTGGAAATAACATCCGTCCTTTTTTTTTTATCCAGGACAAGGTCCCAGCAAGCGACAGGAAGCAAGGCAGGACACCACCTGGACGGGACGCCAGTCTCCGTCGCAGCGGGAAGCGATTTGTTTGGTCCTCCTGCATCCTCTGATGCTGTGCTGCGTTTGTGCACGTCCTGCATTGTCGAACCCAGGCTCGCCGTGAGCAGCGGCGGCGGCGGACGCGCAGCCGAGGCGGCCTTTTCGCGGGAGGGACAGTTACTCTCCGACAGCCCCCGGGAGCGGAGCAGGGGTCCCGCCCGGCTGTCGATCACACCCGGAACGCGGACGCGCTCCGCCGCACCGGATTTAACAGCACGGAGAGAGGAGGGGAGGGAAACGAGCACCTTTTCTCTTGTGCGCAGGGCCGCTGTATATCTCTCTCGCCAGAGCGATGCGGATCACAGAAATCAAGCCCGTTGTCACGAACCGTATTCCCCTGTGCGCCTCTCGGCATCAACGCCTGCGCCCTATTTAAAGCTATCAGCTCTGCTCACGCCCTTTCTACCCGCTCACTCCTCGCTCACTGTTGAGATCGACTTTAGCCTTTCTCTTGCGCGCGTACCTTACTGACCTGACTTCCGGATTCCGACCTGTTTCGTCTTCGGCTCTCTCTAGCGGCTATAGGATTTGGATACCTTTCTGACCTGACTTCTGGATCCCCGACCCAGCTCTGTCTCCGGCTCCGGCTCTGTCTCCGGCTCCGGCTCCGCCTAGCGTCTTTGGGATTTGTATACTCTCGACCTGACTCTCCGGAAACCCGACCAAGCCTGCCTGCCTGCCTACCCACTTTGATTTCCCCCTAAGTGGGGACAAATAAGCAGCTACCGATGAGCAGAGAGGTTAATGTCGGTACCTCAGGTGCGGGGCTGTGGCTCTCCGGCCCAGTTTCTCCGTTGGTACTGCCCCAGAAGAGGTGCTGCCCCCTAGGGTTAGGAAACAGAAAGACGGGCGCGTGTCATAATAAAGATGTCAAAGATTTGTCATCATGTCACAATGGGGAGGGCTGGCTTGTGTCTTTTATAGTGGAAGA